CGACAACAAATTGAAAAATTAATTGGTTCACAAAAAGGTGAATGCGATGAATTTCACGAATTTTAATTTGTTAATATTGTTTTTCAATTTAGAAAAGGTATCACAAGAACTTCATGATCTCGCTGAACAATTACGAAAAGCTCGAATCGATGACGATTTTGTTGAAACTGATCTTCTTACATGGACAAAGATTTTAGAAGAACTTGAATATAATATTAATAATATTTCTTCTTCGACGGCTATTCATGAAGATCCAACAAAATTACTTGTGGCTAAAATATCTATTGATGCGACTATGCAACAACACTTAGAAGATGAACGATTTGGGAAATCAATGGGAAATGTTTGCATTGCAGATAGTGGTCATTTGGCTTATCATCTTGGACCCGAGAGAAGTGATGCATTTGTGTGTGGGAAGCAGGAATATTCATCAGGCAAATATAAAATTCAATTCATTATGAATAAGAAAAATTCAATATGTGTTACGTCGTTTAATATTATTTCCAAAAGTACGTCGATAGCTACAAATGAATTCATTGTAGAAGAATCAAGTTACGGTTGGTACAGCAACGATGACATTTGTTGTGGTGGTGCTGACTTGTCATCCTATAAACTTCGTCATGATATGAAAGGTGAAACAACAATTGAAATCGAACTTTTACTTGATTGTGATAATCAGAAAATAAGTTATTTCAATGAACGAACGAAAAATAGACGTGCAATGAATGTTAATATTAGAAAATGTCCATTTCCTTGGCAGTTACTATTTTATCTATATGATGTCGAAGATTCTGTTCGACTTGTATCTTCAACGAAATTACTGTAAATACTAATCATGAAATAAATATTTATTTTTAGAGAAACTAATTTCTTTTGCAGGAAGAATAAAAACTATTCAGAAATATAGATCTCATCATATTCGATTAAAAATAAGAATAATCATGTACAATTTTTAACTTTAGTAGTCAAAAGTACTAACACGTGGGAACTATATGAATTGATATCTGCTGTTTGAATTCATGATTGTGTACTCATCGCCGCAACGAACATTGCCGACAAGGAAGATTGCTGAAATGAACATCGTCGAATGGCTTTCAATCATCTATATTCGTGAGCATAGTTTTACTGATATAGCTCTCAGCAATCATTGCTTTCATTTACTGTTGCAGAACATTTATTAGGTATACATATGTATATAAATTTATAGTGTATACTCAACCGTGATCTGCCCATCATGACTGGTACTTTCCTAAGGTACTAGCTTATTTAGTTATCAGCTTAGCTGTCAAATCAACTAGTTCGTAAGTTCACTTAGAAACTTATTGAATCGCTCCTTAAATTAGTTATTGAAATGGAAATGGCCAAAAACAGATATCGATGAAGAGCATACTGATCGTTTACTATTACAAAGTTTTCTATGTCTTGTAGAGTCTGAATTGATAAAACTAACTTACTCAGCATATAAATCAATTTTCTGATATTTCGAAAGAAAAATCTTGTTCATGTTTTCTTTTAAACTAATTATGTATTACACTATGTCTTGTATAAGTAAAAAAAAAAAACTAAATAGATTATTCACCATCGCCTTTAAAAACCTATTCTTTAAATCTCAAATAAATTCTATTGACATAACAACATGAGCGTACTTCAGTTAATTATTTCAAATTTACTTTTGTCTAGTACGAGTTTCTAATGTCAGAGAGACGATTCATGTAACTCTCATCATCAAACAAATCGTTCTTCCTATTTACATACTCATCCTAAGAGAAAAATCGATCAAAAGAAAAAGCCAAGCGATTTTTAAGCAATCAAATAAGAAAGTGAATGTTATGTCATTATTGATAATTTTATTTTGAACTGTAGAAATCATTTTGTTATCTATGCCATTGCTCATAAGAAGATCATTCTTTTTATCTGCATCTGGAAAATTATGAATGTAGAAGGTATATTGAGAGATAATAGAGCTTTTACCGATACAAGAACTCAAACATGTATATCTATGCATTATTCATTTCTTTTATATACAAACTTTACTGTACGATATAGATACAAAAATTAACATATTATATGATAGCTTCTGTTGATAACAATGACATTTCACGGACTTCAAACTACATATTGGCATCTCTATCAAATAAATATGTCAACTTACATTTCTTCTACGCAGAAAACATAGTTTTTTTTCGAAAGCATCAATACTGAAAGCACAGAAGTATAGTCGTCTAACTTGAAACTGAACTTTTCTCTTTTCGAGCATCGAAAACTTCTGATTAATTAAGTTGCTTATATTATGTTTCGGTTTTCGTTTCAATAAAAGAATCGAATGCTTGACATCTAGAGACAAAGGGTTAAGATATAAGAGAAATTCATGTTTCAGTATGAAAAATATGAAAGAATGATATGTGACTCATGTATCTATTGACATCATTGATTTGATGAATACAAAGCGTAGTGTCAAATTGATCGGAGAGAGAATGAGACTTGTCATATTAAAATGACACAATGCTTAAAAAATGAATCAACTTTGTGAAATAATTGACTGTTTGTTGAATAAAGATATTTATCAAATAATAATGCTACTCTAACTCTGTCAAATATATACGTTTGTTTTTCAGAAATTTGCGAATATCTTTGTGCTCGTAAAATACACGATGTACGTATCGAACTCAAATGTTATGTGTTCTAATCGGATAATTTCTTGGAATATCATTAGTAATCGAAATATTCTTATCAAACAAAATAATACGATCAAAAAAAAGATTTATCCAGAAAAATAGGAATAAATTAGCACTATAATTCTTAGGGTTCGTGCTCATGAAGAGCGACGAACACAATAACGACGTGTTTTCTTATCTCTCTGTTTATTCTTTTAGAAAACCAGTGTTTATATATACGCACATGAGAAAACAAGAACAAAACAAAAAAGAAGACAAAGATTAATCAAGATCAAAGAAATGACCAAAGAGAAGACAATAGAGAGGATCGAGGTATATGTTATAAGAATAAACTGTAACAATAATTATCTATGATGTACAAAAAAATACTAAATGATAAACATGAAGTTATCAATATTTTACAAAAGTTGTGTTGTTTTCCCAAAGAAAAAAAGTTTTTCTGGTAACTTCGTTATTACATGTTCTTAGTTTACAAAGAACGAGGCTAAAATATTCTCGATGGAATTTCGTATTCTTTATCAATCGATCATTGCTTTTTTCTGGCTTAGTAAAAAATAGGTATCGAATTTTCCTCTTGTTTAAAAGTAATCTTTAAATTTACATATGTTAGTAGGAATTTCTGACTACTAATATCACAAATAATAGGATTGTTTCAATAATTCGTTGAAACTTAAAAATATATAGATATGTTAGCGAACTTCCCCTAAAGTGTACTGAGTAAAAAACACGATCTTTCAAAATTTTGAAAGAAACTAAAATCTTTCTTGACATTCATAAAATTCATTCTAAGAAAAGTTCTACCTTTGGTCTAACTCTTTTCTTTAACAAACCATAGTTATTATTTGAGACTGGACGCAACAAAGAATTTTAAAGAAAAGTTTTGAATTTCAACATGGTTGTCGGAAAAAAATCAATTATATCACCTATTTTCGTGCATTGAATTTTTTTTGCTTTCTTTTATCAACATTCGATCGTCACGTTTAACACAAAAAAGAAAAAAAAAAAAAAATTTACCTTTCTGTTCTTTTTGTTGTCATTTACGTTTGAAACAAATTCGTTTTCATGACCACTTCATCATCGCCAAAATTTCGTGGTACTTCAGACGATTGTAAGACCGTAGGTACTTTGAAATGTGAAGGTTGTTCACAAATATTTTGTCGAAAACATGTTAATGAACATCGAGATCTTCTTAGTCATCAGTTAGATGAAATTGTTCTTGAACATGATATTCTACATCAAATGATTTTGGAAGATAAAAACAAAGAAAATAATAATCAATTTCTTCTCAAGGAAATTGACAAATGGGAACAAGAATCTATCAAAAAAATTCAACAAACAGCAAATGAAGCACGACAACAAATTGAAAAATTAATTGGTTCACAACAAGGTGAATGCAATTGATTTTTTATGAATTTTCATTTGTTAATATTGTTTTTTTTTATTTTAGAAATGATATCGA